CAGTCCCATCTCTGCTTCCCTCTTGGGGCACCTTAACTGTTATCTTGAGTTACCTCAGCTATTGCCACCACCACCTTTAGATGCAGTAGCATACACTGAGGGACACCAGCAGGGTCTAGAAGCCCCACATCAAGGTGAGGTATACAAGAATACAGGGAAGAAACTGTAATATCTCAGATCCACTCTGCAAGAAAGGAAGACACATAGACAATATGAAAAAACAAGGGAAGAAAGTGCCCCCAAACAAACCAGGACACTATAATAAAAGAAATCATGGACAGTGAAGTTGATGAAATGTAAGAGAAGGAGTTCAGAAGGTTCATAATTAAAATGATCTGTGAATTAAAGGACCTAAATGAGCAAATATAGGCAAAAATTGACCACTCCAACAATGAGATGAGAGAGCAAATACAGGTAGCAAAAGATTACTTCAAGAGATAGAGACCCTGAAAAAAAAAAACAAGTCAGAAATCCTTAAAATGAAGAATATAATAAACCAAATTAAAAACTCAATAGAAAGCATAACCAACAAAGTAGATCACTTGGAAGAAAGAACATCAGATAATGAAGACAAAGTATACAATCTGGAAAATAAAGTTGATCACACAGTGAAGAAAGTTAGAAACCATGAAGAGAACATCCAAAAATTACGGGACAGCATCAAAAAACCAAATGTAAGAGTTATTGGGATAGAGGAAGGCACAGAGTTTCAAATCAAAGGAATGTACAATCTCTTTAGTGAGATAATATCAGAAAACTTCCCAAGCATGAAGAACGAAGTGCAAAACCAAATACAAGAGGCTTAGAGGACACCAAATGTACAAAATTACAACAGATATACACCAAGGCACATTATATGAAAATGCCCAGCATACAGAATAAGGATAGACTCTTAAAGCCACAAGAGAGAGGAATCAGATCACATATAGGGGGAGACCAATTTGTATCTCAGCAGATTTTTCAACCCAGACCCTGAAAGCCAGAAGATCTTGGAACAGCATATACCAAGCTCTGGAAGAAAATGGATGCCAACCCCAAGAATCTTATTTCCAGCAAAACTAAATTTTAGATTTGATGATGAAATAAAAACCTTCCATGATAAACAAAAGTTAAAAGAATTTATAACTAGAAAGCCTGCACTACAGAACATCCTCAGCAAAATATTCCAAGAAGAGGAAAT